CGCCCCATTCGAATGGGGGCGCGGCCGCGCCGACCAGGCCGCGATTGCGCGCGCGGCGGCGCGCAGGTGCCCGGCCGCAAAGACGCGAGCCATGGTGCTGGCGGCAGAAGCGGAAAGCGCGCACTCCGATTCCGACGAGGCGCCGCCCTGCAGGCATCGGGGCCGGGGCTCAGCGGCGGCGCGCGGCGCGCGGGGCGCGCCGACCGCCGCGGGGGCGGTGCAGGGGCCGCCCTGGCCGCGGGTTGAGCATGCCAGGCATCTGCGGCCTGCCTGTAGCGCGCTTCAGCGTTGTTCCGCCGAGCAGGAGAGCGTCGGCGGGGTTGCTCGGCGCTGCGGCGCCGACTCGCGCTCCCCCCCGCCGCCTGGCTCGGGCCCGCGCCAGTCGACAGTGGCGCCCTGCGCGAGAGCGGGCGCCGGGAGAAGTCGCAGCGGGGCGCCGAGGCCCGTTTCAGGCTATTCTTCTTGCTCGCCATAATGCTGCGGGGCGGCCATTGTCCGCCGAGGCGAATCTCTACCCCGCGCGCCCGCGAGCGCGTTCTCGTCGCAGGCGGTCGCGATCCGCCCCCCGCGCGGCCGCCCCGCTGGCGGCGCGCGTCGTCCCGCGCCCGCCCGACCCTGCCGCGCGAGCGCAGCGGCGTCGCGGTGGCTCCGTGGCGCGTCGAGGCGAGGCTGGCCCAGCGCCTGGCGAGGGGGAAGCGTCGGGGAAGTTGCTCGGCTCCGCGACGCCGTCTCGCTCTCCCCCCCGCCGCCTGGCCTGGGCCCGCGCCAGTCGACAGTTGTGCCCCGCGTTAGCGCGGGCCCAGCCTCGACGCGACTTTTCTAGAGCTCAGGAATGCGCGGCGTCTGCCATCGTACGATTCTGCCGCGCCCGAGAAGCGCATCCCGGGTGTTCCGTTGCGTTGACGATCACCTGGAGAACATCGTCGTTGGTCATGCGCGGCGCGAATCGGCCCTCCAGCATCTTGCCTTGCGGGCGCAGTGGCGGTAACCCAGTGCCCGGAGAGCTCAGACGCAGTGCCCCAGGTCCATCTGCGCGCGGTGATGCACGCAGGCCACGATGTCGCGATAACAAGGCGCTTGGGTCAAGCATGTCGTCGTCGACGCCAATGATCTCGCGGCGCGCGCCAGCTATGTTCGGTTCCGAGGACTGCGCGGCAAGGCAACAGCACTGCATCCTCCTCCAGTTCATATTTCGGGTCGTGTTCCCGCGGGCCAATCGTTGACGGGGGGGTCCTTGTTTATCTCGCCGCGCGCGCGTCGTGGACTATCAGATACGGGGTACTGTTCGCTGGCCCCCTATGGGCAGCAGTTGCCCTTGTTGGTTGTACTCCGTCAGTTCCAAGTACTCCGCGGTGTCGGTGAGCAGGTCTCTGAAGTGGCGGCGCTGCTTTCTCTTGCTTGTTCTTGGCAGTCTCGTGCTAGGTGCTGTGTTGAGCCGGAGTTGCGGCATTTCATCGCCTGGCCGTCTGCTGGTGGGTGTCCGTCGTCTACTTTTCCTTTGGCCAGCGCAACGTCGCGCGCCCCTTGCCCCTCTTCCCACGGCCCCTACCAGGGCCGCCCCAGAACAATCCATCGTGGGCGTCGCCGCTCCGTGGTTCGAGGCTGAGGCATGCGTCTGGATGCCATTTCCAGCGAGACGACAGCGGTCTCCGCGGCCGTCAATGCCCTTGCCCTTGGAAGTCCGTTTGCTGAGCTGGCGGGCTCGGCGCTCTGGCTTGCCCGAGTGGCGCGGCCAGCGGCAGCTGTGATGCTGTAAAAGATAAGCCAGTGATTGGGCATGTCGGTCCTCGGGGGGGTCCGCGAGGTCGCTCTAGGTCGGCGCGGCCTCGTAGGTTGACGAGGCGTTGTCCGCGCCCGCGCCGCTGTCGCCTTCCTCTGCGGGCCTTCCGCAGAGGGTCGCAGCGGGCGCAGCCGACGGTGCAGTCGCGGCCGCTGGGGGCCCCCGGGAGGTTCAGTCTCCTTGAGCGCCACGTGGCCAACGGGCGACTGCTGACCGGGATCCAGCGGCAGGCGCGCCTGCTGGGGTATCTTCTTGTTGCCTATCCCCCCCAGCGTCGACTGCGTCCACCATCGAAGCGCCGCTTCTGCCGCTGCCGCCCATAGATCGTGGCGCGCGGTCGACGGCGCGGCGCCTCCTATGGCCTCCAGCTTTCCATCGTGCTCCTGCTGGATTCTGGGCGCCATGCCGTTGAGCGGCTGGAGACGCGACCGCGCTTCTCGCGGCGCGGCTCGGAATGCTCGAACCAATTTTGCACCTGATAATTTACATTGGATCCAGCCTTGTCGGCTTCCACCCGTGCCATTTCCCACCTGGCAGGAGCAACGTCGATCCTCATTGCTGTGGAAGCGGAAGTCCATGGGCCCCAGTCACCGCTGCAACTGGGGCTCGCCCTCTAAGCCCCCGAATATTTGAACCAGGCAGTGCGCTGAGTACTTTGCTGGGTCGGTTCGAACACCATTTGCCTCTGCTCCGAAATTGATAGCCGCGGATGGCATCCGCATGGCAATGCTGCGTGCCAAGCCCCAGGGGCGTCTCTGGAATGCAGCCGCTTGCTGGGAGGGCGTCGCACGTCTGAATGGACGTTGAACCACGCCTGAACCCCGCGGGTCCATACGCGGCACGGTGCATTCCTAGCCGGGTCCCACGAGGGGCCCGTGGTTCTCCCTCCCGTTTTCTCAGCGTGTGGCCGACGATCGTGCCGATGGCGATGGCCACGCGCCCTCAGATGGTGAGGCTCGGCCAATGGAAGTGGTAGGGGACGACGTCGGCGGTAGTGGTTATGGAGAGGGAGCCAGTCACGTCTCCACGAGCGGCAAGAAGTTGAGAGAGGTTCGCGAGTCGGCGCTCCTCGGACTCTGAGGTATGGTGGTCGATCGCGATCCCGCGTTCGTGCGTTGTGGAATTCGTAGTGGAGTGTTGGTTCGTCGCACTGGCGATCGAGCATCCTGGCGCGCTCGAATACGAAGTTGCGGGCGAGGGTGAAGTCGTCATAATGGCGTCTGAGATTGCAAGACGGCGCTGTCCAGGAAGAGGTTGATGAAGGGAAGGCCTTCGGTGACGCGGTCGAGTCTCCTCGCGCGCGTACAGCCAAGGGTGCTGTCAGAAGTGGGCGCAGTTCCTACGTGGTGGCAGGTGCCGATGAGGTGGAAGTCCAGGCAGGAATCCACCATGCGTTTGTAATCCTGCGGGTGACCTCCGCCGCGCTGGTGGTAGGCGTAGATGTTGCTGTGCTGCTGTACGTCACCACGCCGAAGGCGGAGGCGAGCAGAGCTGCCGCGGGTGCGACAACCCCGCAACCCCGCTAGCAAATCGAACTGGGACTATCGCATATCGGAACCGAAAAATAAGATTGAGGGTTGCGATCGCGGTGGCTGTGGAGTAAAAACAAACTCTCTTCTCCGGGCCGACGCCGCAACGTAGACGGATTGGGCGGCGCAACCTTGAGCCAAGGCGGCGGCGGACGAACAACGCATACCCACCCCGGGCGTTTTCCCAGAAAGTTGCCAGGCCGTTCGGACACTAAGCACTAAGCCTGAACGCCGTGCCGCCTCCAAGATGCCTCCAAAGACGGCCCAAGATGCCCCCAAAACGGCCTTCAAGATTTGGCGGCGAGCACTGGGAGAAGTGAAAAGGGGCAAGGTTTCTCAGACGGCGGCGAGGCGGGCATCTCATAACCCCTCCCGCCTTGTGAGAAGCCGTGTGTCTTCCGAGAAGGTTTAAAAATCCTGTGGGAAGGCCAGAGACCTCCCGAGACTTCTGGGAATGCCCGCCCCCTCTGCATTCACCCCTGGGCTCTCCGCCGAAAGCCGGCCCAAGATGGCTTCACAGTGGGCTCACACACCCTCCAGTTGCCTGTAAGATGGCCCAATCTAGCAGGATGTTGCCGAACATAACTGCCGAGAAAGTTGCGCAAGGTTCCACGCCTTCCCCAAACCGACTCCAAATGGCCACGGAGCCTCCCAAGGAGGGATGCCGCCGTGATGCCGAAATCTTTCAAGCACATGGCACACTTTGATTTCGCAGCCGATTGGCCTCCGAGGCCTCAAAATGGTCCCAACACGGCCAACGAGGGCCCCACGACTGTCCCAAGAGCGCCCAAAAGCCCCCCAAGACGGTCCCCAGACTTTCCAGACGGCCCCAAGAGCGCCCCAAGACAGCCCACAGAGACCCCCAAACAGCTTCATAAGGCCTCAGACGGGCTCTGAAGAGGACCCCAAGAGGCCAACATTCCCCCTAAGAAGGCCCCAACAGGCCCCAAGAGGGGCCCAAGATGCGCCACTACACGTATACGCCAACATGCCACTTCCTGCTCGTCGTCGTCGTCCTCCTCCTCCTCCTCCTCATCCTCCTCCAAGGCTGCGGGATTGGTGGGCTAGCTTCCCTAAGGGGGTGGCCCGCCGTGGCCGCTCTGTGGGCTCAATGGGAAAAGCGCGATGGTCCTGCGCATTGGAATCATGGCGCATTTGATGTCGAAACTAATGGCTGCTGTCGAGAATAATCTCCGCCTCCAGCACTGCAATTATGCCAGGGCTCTGGTTGGCATTGAGGGAAGCTGGTCTAAAATATCGGGTGCGGCATCTGACCACGCACCTGAACCCGCTACAGTTGATCCGAGTTGGCCATGCCGCTACTAGCACCCGATTGCCAGAGGTCGCAGCGGCGATACTCAACGTCGATGCTCTCGTTATCTCGCTGCCCGTCTTCCACTTCGTCTGCATCTCGGCCTCCATAGCTATCTTCATCTCCAGCCCCGTCCCCCGCCATCATGATCGCCGTTTCGGCACCCACCTCTCATTCTGGTGTTCCCCGAACTCATTCCCCCAGCCTCTGGCAAACTTAGAAGCCACACGCATCGAAGACAGAGGAGGGTATCGCAAATGATGGGGGATTGGAACCCTGAGGGAACAACAGTACAAAACATATGCACCCATGGAGACAAGTATATCACCATGCTGAAACGGCAGAAGCGGCAGCAACGTCTGCAACAAAAAAAGAGCGCCTCGCAACATCATCGCCGGCGGGAACCACAGCAACACTCGAGCCTAACAGGCCTGAACGTCGGCTGGCCATGCGATGATACTACTTCCTTGCTGTGCCAACCGGTTAACACACACACACACACACACACGTTACACGGAATGGGGGCCCTGTGACCGTCGTCTTCGCAATCCACACCCGTTCTTCTCCCACAGAACAGACCTACAAACTCACATTGACCACAACGCCGACCCCCGTAACATTAGGTCGAGACGAAGTCGTCTGCCATGCCACATGAAGAACGAGTCTTCGCATCCATCTCCTGCTGAAGGTGTCAGCGTTGGTTGGGATAGAGGTGGGCCTGTCGAATATGTGGCGGATTCTGGAAGCCCTGAACTAAAAAACCTCTCCATGTCTTGGGAGGCCAACTGTTTACTTCCGCTGCCTTCCGCCGGCTTCCGCCAGCGGAGGCAGCCTCGCATTACTTTCGCCGGCTTCCGCCGCCTTCTGCTGAGGGAGAGATGACAACTCCTTCGACCCTTGAAGGCGAGGGCCTTTCTGGAGCGCGCTGTGTAGCCCGAAACAACATACATCCCGCGCGTTGACGCCGCTTCCGCTTCCACTTCCCTTGCTCATTCACTCTCTCTTCTTCTGGACGGCCAGGGGGTATGAATTGCATGGGGCCCCAGAAAATCTGTCAAGATTGGGGGCGAAGCCGAATCCTCTCAAAATCGGTCCCAGGACCCCTCCCAAGTTCCACCTGGTGCAATTTTTCACCCTCAGGTCCGCTTTTGAACGTCCTGGGGCCCGGAAGCGGCCCGGCCCATGGAGGCCGAACAAATCCTCGACCCGAGAACCTCGTCCCTTTCCTGCTCGCCGGAATGCTGATGCTGGGCCACCTCAGACCCCCAGCTGGCTCCATCTCTCTCCTGCTATGCTGTTTTCACTTGCCCCTCGTGGCCCCCGCCGCTCCCAGGGATTTGCAGACTTCTAGAGAGTCAGGGCGCCACATTGCCGCGGGCATCCCTGCGCAGTCAACCGAACCAGGGGGCAGCATCGGCGTGGGGTCGGGATCGAATCGGATCGGCTGCGGCAGGAAACACGACACCGCCATGCTTAACCATCGGGCCGTATCGGGTCGCCGGCGCATCGGAATCGAATCGGATCGGGCCGGCCAGAACCGATGTCGAATCGGACCGATCGGATCGAAATGGGCCTTGGGCGGTGGTTCCGTAACAGCACCGAATGGCGGCAGGGAAGAGGAGGAGGAGGAGGAGCAGGAGGAGGAGGAGGAGGAGGAGGAGGAGGAGGAGGAGGGGGAGGGGGAAGAGGGGGGGAGAGGAGGAGGAGGTGGCATATCAGGTGCCAGACATTGAATGTCAGACCGCCCTGTGGCCAGGACCAGACAGCACGCACTCTCACGTTTTTGCTCCCCCCAGACTCTAGCAGTCTGCCCGCGTATGAGTTCTAGCAGCACGGCTCGCGCAGATAGTGCAGCTCCCAGTGTCTTCGCAACAGCACCTAACCACAGCTAGGGCACGCTTTCATACTCAATGGGCCAGCCTAAACAGGCCAGCCTGCGACGCCTCACAATACTACCCTTGCTGGACAATAAGGGTTCGTGCTGACCCAGAAAAAAACCATACGAAAAGCACGGGGGTCTCATAACCGAGGTGGTTCGGGGTAAACCCAAAACCCCCGGGCAACAACCTAAAACTGCCACACTTTACTGTCGACGCCGCACTGGCAACTCACGCGACTCACCGCTCTCCTTTCCTCCATACACCTCTCTATCTCCATGCTCTCTAGCAGCAAGCACACTTTGTTCTGCTCATTGCAGCCTGCCAAGATGGCACCTGTTCTGTGATAGAGATGGGGGTCGGAGGCTATATATGAGGACGGTGGAGGCGGAGGTGAGCACTTTCATACGGTTTGGGGTCGGCCCAAACCTGGGCAGCAACCCTAGAACTGCACAGTCAAAGCAGCGCCACTGCACTCTCTTTCTTGTTTACCTACTGAGAATTGGCATTCACAATGTGTTACTTGGATTGAACTTGTTTTGGGCTTCGCCGCTCAGATTTAAGCTGCGTCATCTGGCGAGCGCCTACTATTCTACCTATGTGTTTCACTGTCTCTCTTTGCCGCCTTAGCCGCGGCGCCCGCCAGGTATCCTTTGCGCCGAGTCCTTAGCGCTTCATTTTTTGGCAGCACTTCAAGAAAGACACACGCGTAAGCGCAAGGTCTGGCCACCGCAAGAAAAGAGAGGAGGAGGAGGGAGGAGGAGTATGAGGAGGAGGAGGTGGAGGAGGAGGTGGAGGAGGAGAAGGAGGGGAGGGCCGCAATCTGGCGCGCCTGCACCACGTGCAGCGCAGGGGCGCGGACACCGAGTCTGGTACACCTCGTCGGAGAATCCCACCAGCCCTCTGGGCGAAGGTGGTTTAAGGCGGCTCCTCTTCTAACCCCCTTTCTTCCCCTTCAGGGAGGGGTTAATCACTGTTCCCTATTAACAAACACCCCCTCCCCCACCCGGCCGGCGGCCAACCCGGAACAATGCCAACCCCCTCCCACCATCCCTGTCAGAAAACAATACAAAACACACTCTGCCTCCACATTCAGAGCATGCGCGGCCGCCCCGCGACCACTTCGTATTGATATTTTACAAGGACGGCCGGGGTGCCGGTAGATCCTACGTGCCTTCTGGCCGCGGGTGGTCGTCCAGGATGGTCCCAAGAGGCTCTCCTGGCCATCAGGGAAACCCTCAAGGATGCCCTAAAAGCGAAGACCCACCAAAAGAGGCCCAAGAGGACCCGAATACCTCCTGACACCACCGCAACATATCCCGAAGAAGACCCCGAGGGAACACCAGCAGCACCGGCACCAGCAACAACAGCAGTAGCACCAGCAGCCCCGGCAACAGCAGCCGCAGCAGCACCAGCAGGAGCACCAACACCAAGTGCAGCAGCAGCAGCAAAAATACCTTCACCAGCAGCAAACAGCGCCAGCAGCAACACCAGCAGCAACACCAGCAGCATCACCAGCAACACCACCACCAACAACAATAACACTAACAGCAACATTATCACCAACAGCGGCGGCAACAACACCGGAAACAACACAGGCAACAACACCGGAAACAACATTATCACCAGCAGCATCGACACGCCTCGCTCCCAGGGGTCTCTCAGTCTATCCTTGCAGCCCGTGTCGCCATGTGCGTCTCTTCTTCTCTTCTCCCGTCGGCTCTCGTGTGCATCGTTTCTGCATGGGCTGGCGGGGATACGCACAACGTCATGACATGCCTGCAACGCGCAACCGAATCATCGGCGCCAAGATTAGAAGGCACCGTCCGGGAACGGCCGACTGCGGCACAGGCAGGCCCTCTTTGGCCTGGTGCATCTGGAACCCGTGGCGTCTCCGACGTTCTTACGCGATATGCTGACTCCCCGGTGTCACGTATGTGTTGGGAGGGTGGGTGGGAGTGAACAAGACGGCTTGCGGGCGGGTGGGAAGCTTGACCCCTCCCCCCACCCCCTCCCCTGGACCTGGACGGGGCGCCCCGCGAGCGGTCAAGGCGTCCAAAACGGCCTCGGCGAGGAAGCCACAATCAGTGATTTTACTCGGGTTGCGGCCCCATTGTGGCCTCTTGGGGGGGCGGAGGTGGCCCCACGAGCGCTCCCAAGGCTCCCAAGGGTGCCCCAGGAGGGCCCCAAGAGGTGGCCAGGAGGCCCCACGAGGCCCCCAAGAGGCCCCCAGGATGCCCCCAAGAGGCTCCCAAGAGTCCCCCAAGAGGCCCCGCGAGGCCCCCCAGAGGCACCCAAGACGCTCCAAGAGGCCTCGGCGAGAATGCCAACATCATTGATTTTATGAAGGTTTTGGCCACCTCTTGCTCCTGGGGGGGGGGGGGGGCACTGCTTAAGATGACCCCAGTAGCGCCTGGGAGAGCCCAAAATGACCTCCAACATGGATCAAGATATCCCAAGATGCCTCAAGATAGCTCCCACGATGCTCCAAGAGGCCCGAAGACCGCTCCATGACGGCTCCATGTGGCCAAGGAGCTCCCCTAGGAGGCCCCGAAAAGGCCAAAACGCTTCCAAAACCGTTGGGGAATTAATGTTTTTGGCTTTCTCGCCTTTTCGCTTCCGATGGCCATCCGAGGCCTCAAGATGGCCCAAGAGGGCTCCAAGAGCGATCCCGAAGCTCCCATGAGCGCTTCAAGAGGGACCCAAGAGGCGCCCAGGAGGCACCAGGAGGCCGCAACAGGCGCCCAAGAGACCTCCAACAAACTCGCAAGAGACCCCCAAGAGGCCCCAAGAAGCTTTCCGAGGCACCCAAGACGCTCTAAGAGGCGTCCGGGACCGCCAAGGGGCCCCCAAGACGCTCCAAGAGGCCTCCACTGGGGGACCCTTCCTCTGTGTGCTGCCCACTTCCCTGATCGAGGCAATTGTTCTGGGCACCGTTTGCAGGGTTACTTTTTAGTCAGCGGCCGCAGGCGAGAGCGCCAGCGGCGAGTCGAGTCAGAGCGGGCCGCGCAAAGACGAATCAACCTAAAGCGGTGGGACGGAGCCTCACGCGGCACCTCGGCGGGCGGGCCGGCGAGTGGAGAGGGGCTGGCGGCTGCTGCCAGGGTGGCTGCACTGCCAGGGGTGCACGCATGCAACGAGCTGCAGGAGGGGGGCTGACTGCCAGGTTGTGGGGTTACTTTTTTGGTCGGCGGCTCCGAGGCAACGGACAGGGAGCGGAAGCGGCGTCCGGGTCACGGTACGGGGCTAATTCGCAAACAATGCGAGGTGCGCACATGCACTGAGCAAAATGCTCCGCATTAAGGCGAACGCACCTATGCGCCACGGTTGTGCGGTTATTCTTTTTTGATCGGCGGCCCGCAAGGACAATTCCAGAGGGCGGGTCAATCAGGTCGTCTGGGGCACAGAGCGAGATAATTTGCGAATCCAGCCGTCACTGTCGACAGCCGACAGCACCTGCAAGCATGCTCGCAGTTGCACGCGCACAGAACAAAATGAACTAAATTCAAGGAGACGCATCTTAGCGTCGGCATGTGGGAACGGGCCCGGGAAGAAT